ATCAATTAGATACAACACTGTTTAAGTTATTTCACCATCCTTTAAGATTATGTACATTTATTCAACGAGAATTGAATAAAAAACAACTAATCATCTTCAGGAGTTATTCAAGCTCTATATACGTAAAAATGAGATTACTTGAACTAGATTTCAATTAGTAAAACAATGATGTGCATTTTGATGGAGTTTTGTTCTCTGAGCTCAATGGTTTAATCATGGGGCTTTCATCGTCCTTCTGAATGACATCATCAACACAAACTTCTACTTGGAGCTCCACGACCAAAATATCCAGCTTAGAGAACAAAACTTCATCAAAATCATCCACCTGAGCTACAAATCTTCTCCATCATCTCTGAATTACTTATAAGAAGATTTTATTATTTGAGTTTAGAATATTACGATTCAATTATTCTATCATGATTATCTTTCAGGAATGTTTTCTGCCTAGCCCAGACAGTTAAGTCCAAAAAACCAATTTCAGCCTCTGCAATATCAATTATTTATTCCAAATATACTGGGTTTATATACCAACCAGACAGACTACAACGTACCATAAAATAGGAAACAACATTTGTACAAGATTTAGCCAAATGTGGCTGTGAATGGGGGAGGTAGTAATTAATAGACAGGGCATAATACAGGAATGGTAAGTCGTAGAATAATAGATCATAAGCTGAATTACTTATTCAAAGACAAATGTTTTTAACTATATTACTCTTAAATCAAATGTTTACGATAATATTGTGAAAGTTAAGGAATTGCCTTCCAATTTTATCCATTCAGTAGTTGTTCTTTTAATCTGTTTTGAAATACAAGTTCAAAATAGACATGCATTGTATTTACAGTTACTTAACAGGTAATAAAATATAGCAGAGATGGATGATGGTTAGCAGTGAAATCCATGATGCGCGTTTCATCCTATCTAGGACTCGTCAGTCGGATATACCTGCTTCACTTCGACGATGTTCATTCTGGGACTCAAACCCAGTACTATTCACTTTAAGCGCCAATCACGTTACAATCCATTTCAACGTTTCTGTGTCCAGATGAATATAAAGCTATTCTGAAAGTGCCATCTTCTTTCTCATTAATGTGTACATTTTTAATGTTGGAGCGATATTGTGTATTAGTTACTGTTCTAACGAATATGTCATAGAAGTCGTTCATAAATAGCAATTATCGCAAGGCTCGATCTGCACACGATGAACGTTATTGAAACTGAGACAGCGGCAACACGGGTAGGATTATGTAAATGAACATGGATAAGGTGATGACTTTATATTTTACATAATTAGGAAGAGAAGTAACAACTGTTATATCCGAAGATTACGCTGTCCCAAATTTCTAAACAATAAGTAGCTACACTTTAAATTTGATGCAACCTTATGGTATGTTAATGAACTAAATCATATGTGTATTCATATTCCTTTTGCTATAAGCTTCCATATGATCTATGAGCTACAATTATACAATTTACTATTCTTAAGTTAATACCAATCTATTAGTTGCAGTCTCTCACAATCATAGCCATTTTGGGGCTTGAACTTGTATAATTATTTTTATTTTGTGGCGTATTGAGGTCTGTATGTCTGAAACACATTATTACTACAGTGGATGCTGGGATTCTGTTCTCGACTAAAATGGACTGGGTTGGGCGAGAAGATTTGTGTGGCGCATATGTATTTCGTGCCTCTTTGTACCAATCTCTATGAGTTCAAGTAATAAATAAATAAATAGAGGAGGAACAAGTGCCGACGGACTGGAAAGAAAGACACCTCATCAATATACCAAAGAAAGGAGGTCTGAGCGAATGTGAGAACTACGGAGCAATCACACTACTGTCAGTACTAGGAAAAATTCTCAACGCAAAAAAGAAGTTTTGTTGTATGCTCGATGAAAGCTATTACAATTTTAGGTTTCTGATGGCTGATTTGTTTAGTTTCATAGGGAAACTCTTCCGAAGGATGTTTAATTTCTAATGCAGACTAATGAAAATTCAACTTATAACTTGAGTACACAAACATGATACAAATCAAATCGTTACTAGATTATTAGAAGAATAAGTAACTAGTTATTTTATTGGCGAGAAAAGCATCTTATCGACTGCTGATTGCTTACTTGGATGGTATTGATTCTAGATTGGCGTTGTAATGTCAGAATACTACGTTTGTTAACAGACTTCATAGATTTTATACAATTTTTTCTCTCTATGGAATGAATTGCTTGAAGTTTACTTCGTTCCATGTTGATTGTCAAAAAGGAAAATAAATAAAAAATTAAATATAGTTACATAGATGTTCATTCTGTGGTTACACAGTAAAATGAAATACAACTGGATAATATCAGTAAACGATATTGGTCTAGTAAGTGATTGGTGAAAATGATCTTGAAGAACTGTCTTGGATCTATATGCAAAATTTACATCTCTGTGGGGTATGTCAATTTCCTTAATCTTAAAATCAAAGAATATATGCAACTCAAAACAATTGTCTGTCAATAATATCAAAGTCACAATCTTCAATTACAACGTCAAGACTGTTCTACTAAATCATTTATCAACTGTCTCAAACTTCATCATCCCTTCATTGTCATAAAAATTACTCGCTGTACCCGTTCGCTTCTATTCAACCTTCCCAACCTTCTGCTGCTACTTCTGATTAATATTTATATACTACTTATATTGATATAAGTAGCATAAGTCATAGTAATAATATTCCAAAAACACGTTAGAAATGGATAGGACATACATCATGGAAATCATCGAACTGCATCACGAGGCTAGCTCTCACTTGGAATCGTGAAGGGAAGTGAAAAAGAGGAAAACCAAAGAACACATTACGTCGAGAAATAGAAGTAGATATGTAAAGGATGAATAACAACTGGAAAGAAGTGTGAAGGAATGTTTGGCACAGGGTTGGATGAAGCGTGTTGGTGGTTGACCTATTCTCCTTCACGAGGAGTAACAGGCGTAAAAAAGTAAATAAATTGTCAATTCTAAAGTAGATAGGTTTGAACTAAGGATTTTTTTTTGTAATCCCATTATGTTGAAATAAACATAAAGCAAAAGCGAACTTCTCAAATGATCCTATTCGAAGTTACTGTTTATATATTTGTCTTCAGTATGATGTTGTGGAGATTGTCGAATTTCATTGAAATTATTAATGTGAAACTGGATAAATTTAGATTACAAAATGAAATTGTAATGTAACTACTTAGTTTAATTGAGAATAATTCATTCATTGTTTTATATCCACATACTGATACTACTTAATACTTCAGGCCAATTCTTGGATCATTACCTTATCATACCACATGCGTTCTTTAGGAAGTTTACAGAACAAAAACGAGTTTCCGGTGATTTAACCTCATTAATGGATGAGGAGGATTTACAGAGGAAAGTTGGAAAACCCGATAAGATAAGAGTTTTTTTATTCATTGTTCTTCTGAACAACATCATCAACACAAACTTCAGTCAGACTTCCATCTATTGTTCAGAAGAACGATGAAATCTCCACGACCAAACGATCATGCAGCTCAAAGAATAAAACTCTATCAAAATATATCTAGCAACAACAGATATCTTAATGTTTAGTGTTTCTATTATGACCTCCTGATTACCTCAAACCATCGAAAAAAAGCATAGAATATAAAGTCTTTACGACCAGTGACCACGCTGATAACTAACCGATAAAACTTGATCAACGCTAAGAGCTACGTAAACATGACCTAAGTTACCTATTAATTTTATAGTTGAATTCATGAGTCAGTTGAAGCTAGACCACGGTAGAAAACCTGGAAGCACTATACAGCTTAGGAGTCCCATACTAGGATATAATACCATCTTAGTAAAATCTGAGAATTATACAGTAATTGCTTCATTTACAAAATGTCAATCAGTTCTTTCTTTATAGTGTTATTCAGTTATTTATCTGAAACTAGTGTTCATATTCTTGACATGTTGGTGTTTGAAATGTGAACAGGTATATACAAGCTCATATATACTATTCTGATTCTGTATAGTCATTACTTAACATTTTTAAAATTTATTATATTTTAGGGATTTTCATCATACAACTTCCCTTTTATGCGCTTTCCAAATGGGACACCTCGAACTCCCAGGGACGAAACACGTAAGCCAAAGCACAAAGATAAATATGGACATTATATTCCGAGGTGAGAGTTTCATGTTTCTATATATTCAATCAATAGAAACTTAGAAAACCTTTTGATACATAAATATAAGTATAGGATTGTGGAGATTATTAAGTTTTTGATTAAGATCATGAACCGATTGATGTCAGACTACCATTGAAAACCTGGAATCACTGGTTGGCCGATAATTATACCATGTACTCACTAGTGACTAGATTCGTGTGTGAATTCTCGGAGTTCTAGTGAGAAGCCGTGACCAGTGGAGTTATTCCGTGTTGGGTAGAGACAAGTATCTACCTCAGTACAATGGAAGATGGTTGCGCCATTTCGTGGATTGACGTTGGATGCCCACCGGCCGGCTCAGTGGTCTACAGGTTAGGCGTTCGCGTGCGAGATCGATAGGTCCTGGGTTCGAATCTCGCGAGGCAGGATCGTAGATACCCACTGCTGAGGAGTCCCATACTAGGACGAGTTGACCATCCAGTACTTCCATGATGGTCTTAGCTTCAACTGACTCATGAATTCAACTATTAAATTACAATGTGACCACCAGTAAGGCTTAGTAACAAGTCCCTTATAATTAAAGATATATACATTTCTTTACTTAGAAAAAATACTTACTCAATCTTAATGTATGAATTTCATTTAAATATTCTGAATGTATTAAATTTCGACGTTTATTATATTCATTATGTAAATCATAAATACGACTATTCATACGTGATTCTTGATTTTCACGAAACAATGTTAAACGTTGAGAAACAAGTGAATTATTATGTCATTGTCTAAAACCATGTTTAGTATTTAAAAAGTCACTTCTCTCAAATCGCCATAGACAATATGTCCTATCAACAGTGTTTTAATGAAGTTAATGATGAATTGGATTTAATATCATAATTAGATGATTGAATATGATCATATTTATTAAGATCACGTTTAGCAGCTTTACGCATAGCACGATCATATGTATCAATTTCACTTTTTAAACGATCTTTAAATGTACGCTCTTCTTTAGACTAGAATAAATAAAATAAAATAATAATACTAAGACATTAATACGGTTATTAAAAAGAAACTGAATTTCATTAAGTATACGAGTGTAGTAGTAGTAGTAGTAGTAACTCTGTATCAGTAAGCCTCAACATACACAAAAGAAAAAGGCAAAACACGAAGAACTCAAAGTCACTCTTCATGATCAACAAGGAGAATCTGATGCAAACATAAAGGCAAGGATTAGCAAAACAAGGACAGTATTGATATAATAATAATAGAAGCTCTGTACTGATCTTTAAAGGTAGATTTCACACATGAACATCAAGATATATATTATATGGAGCTAAAACTTCCAGAACTATTACAACCATCATCAAAAAAGTAGACGTATTTACAAACAATTGTCTACGCATGATACTCAATGTCCGTTGGCCAGAAACCATTAGTAACAGCCTACTATGGGAGAGAACAAACCAGAATCCAGATTAAGAGAAAAATAGGAAAAGGTGCTGGAAGTAGATAGAATATACATTGCGGAAATCATCAAATTGAATCACAAGACAAGCGCTAACTTGGATCCTGAAGGGAAACAGAGAAGAGGAAGGCCAAAGAACACACCGCGTCAGGAATCAGAAGCAGATATCAAAAGGACAAATAGCAATTGGAAAGGATTGTCCAAGACAGAATTGAATAGAGAATTCTGATGGGCGTTCTATGCTCCTCAACGAGGGGTAACAGGTGTAAGTAGAAAAATGTTTTTAAGAGAAATAAAAAATTGAGAATGAGTTATGTGGTTGAAGACGATGGACAAGAAGTATTGGACTAACATCAGTACTTATTAACAAGCCATATAGTTAATATTCAAGAAAATATTTTCTATGTAGCATAATAATACATTTCACCTTCATTAGTAATAATATTTACGATCAATAAATAAACAATTAGTTAGGATGATGACCCTAATATTTCATTTACGGTTCACCATACAAATCTATTTGAATAATTCTTGAAAACTACTGTAATATTAGGGTTTGAAGACGCTATTCAAGGAGCATAATCCAGTGAAATCAATTTCGAAAGAGAAAAATAACAGGGACATGAAGAATACAGAAGATTAGAATTTCAGAGAACACAAAGAGTGAATGCACCTACGCCATTGCAAACTGTTTTGAACCATGTCATTCAAGGTCTCTAACAATCGGTTGCTATCGTCTCGCAGATCCCCACAACCAGAAAGTCTACACCTACCAACATCACACAGTCCACCTGTCGATCACTTCATGGATTCCTGCCATGTTTTCGTTTGGCAGCTCCCAGCTTTCTCCCAACCTACTCCTACACCATAGAACATTACAAGTCCTGGTTGGGCATACGTAACACATGTCCCAGCCATCCCAGACAACTCATGAAGTTTCACTACTTCACCAATCCATTTCCCATTCTTACCTAATACCCGTTTCCGAACAACTACATTACTTACTCAGTGTTCCCAGGATATACAATGTCACTAACTCACCTCGAACGAAAAGAAATTTTTCTCATCGACTGATGTACACTATCTTAACTGATAGGTCCTGGGTTTGTATCTCGTGAGGTGGGATAGTGGATAAGCACTAGGTCGAAACTAAGGATTAAAAATCATGGTATAAAGAACTGCAAAGTATTTAATTCTTATTACAAATCATGAGTATTTGTAGGGATAAAAGATAAGTATATGATGATTTATTGAATTAGTTATCATCTCTTTAATAATAACGCATTAAATATGTATTTGTATTAAGATGGAAATGAATTATTCGACCACCACAGGCTAATGGATACGATCCTGAAGCTATAAGTTATCCTCCTTAGCATTTTTTTTAACTATACAATTTTAACAATTTTTTTATCAGAAGGGGTTTTGTGGATATTATAGTAATTTCAATAGTTGAAATCATGAGTCAATTGAAGCTAGACCAACATTGAAAACGTGGAAGCACTGGACAGCCAACTCGTCCCATTTTGGGACTCCTCAACAGTGCGTATCTACGTTTAAGTTTCGAACCCAGGGCCTATCAGTCTCGCGCGCGAGCGCTTAACCACTAGATCACTGAGCCGGCATCCAACGGTGTTAACGTCTAACTTCAACTATTTTTTTATTACAAACTACCAAATGTAAACTTACAGTTTCTGATCGAATACGTTTCATTTCCACTTCGAATTCTTTATCTAATCGTTCCATTTGTAATTTATAATTACGTATAACAATTTCCATTTTATGATTCATTGTATTTAATTATTTAGAAAAAAAAATTCAATGAAAAATAGTTCAATATTTCATAAACATTTAATGGAGTTGTGGAAGTTATTGTGTGTAAGGTGGTGATATGACTACATGGTATAGAAGAAACAATTGAGAATTCCTAGTTCATCAAGACTTCCTAGTTGAAGTTGTACAGTAGTATGACGACTTTGTCGTACATGGCTTCAATTAGAAGTCAATGACGGTTTTGTTATAGATTCTCTACATAGTTCTATATAAACATAAAATGAAACCTTTCAAATGAAAGACACCTCTATTGTTTGGTTTCCCACAATAGGACAAAACGGCCATCTAGTGCTTCCAGGTTTTCAACAGAAGTCTAACATCAATCGATTCACGATCTAAATCAAAAAGTATTATTCTGGGTTTCTCTTCCTTTAATTAAAAAAAAAATCAAATTGTACATACTTACAATATTTAGAAATGTTACTCCTCGCTTATACGAGAATCAAACGACACCTACTTATTGCACATGTTTCCGAAAAATGTCAAAGGAAGAAGCGATGGAATCGGATAGGACACACATTGAGGAAAGCACCCAACTATGTCACAAGGCAAGCCCTATCATGGAATCCTTAAGTATGAATATGAATTTTGTACATTCTTAAATTGTGTGATAAACAACTGTCAAAATAATATATTTTGCTATTTCTGAAATTATTTGCATTGAATTAAGAGTATACAGGCATAAGTAAGTAACTGACTGATAAATTCGCCTTATTAAAAAGTTGGATCCCTATTAACAAAACATTGTCACATCATAGTGATCATTATCTCCTGGCTTCATAAAAGTATTTGAACAGTTCACATTTCAATCAATTCCCATTGATCGACAACAGATATTCAATGCAATTAAGATTATATCTTCAACTTCTCTGTATCTAAATTTTTGTATATACAGGAAATAGTGTGAAACATTTTACAGTTGAGATGATGAAGAAGATTTTTAGCTCACGTGGATGATTTCGATGGAGTATTGTACTCTGAGCTGGGTGATTTGGTCGTGTACGACCATCAAAAACACTTTACAGTACAAAGACGGTTATAGATAGTTCGTGTTGAAAGATAACAAAATTTACTTGATTTTTAATTTTGATGATATATTCATAATATCTTTTTATAATATCTTATATAACTAGTTGGATGAGACTATGAATTTATGGATGACATTTGAGCGACGCTAAAGTGACCTTGAGAGTGTCCACCTGATAACTAGGACCAAATGAATGTTATTAATTAGTGTGACGAATTTGAATTATGATTTACAGTTGATGGTTAAGGTTATGAATTAGACTTATTTTTTTATTACCACGATGGATATAATGCCAAAACTCTATTTACCCAAATGGATGAGTGAACTTCACGCCAAAATCCAAGACCTGTTATCTTACACGTGATTGGTTGGTCCATAAATTATAGTCTCGCCATTACAGTCATATCTGTTTTGAATTGCCATATGATATTCTTGTTCGAATACTGTCGTTAAATATCAACTTTGAAATACACAATTTGATTAACTCGATTCACATACACATGCAACTCAGAAACTTCTGTCTGTTATAACTTGTGGACTTGTGCCCCGATCAATATGTGCCGTAATGATACCGCCAATTAAAGAACAGTGATTATTCGACCAGACTAATAACGCATAAAACAAGTACGAAGAGTTTACAGTCTTTATCCATCCATCTACCTGTTTAGTCCTGCAGGTTAAGTCCCGCAATAAGACGAAACGGCCGTCCAGTCCTTCCAGGTTTCCAAAGATTGTTTAACATCAATCGGTTCATGATCTCAATCAAAAACTTAATAATCTCCACAACCCCTATACTAGTAAATACAACATAATTCGCATTGTTTGATGGTTACAGAATTGATGTAATAGGTTATAAGAAATAGTCTTTTCGTTATAAAATGAGTCTTCTTCAAGTTTGTCTGAAATTCTCAGATAAAATCGATGATTTATAGAGACGACTAAGACAGAACTAGCATTAGCTAGAAAATAATTATTGTATTATATACCACGAATAGGCTAAAGTTCGGAATATTGAATTTTGGACTTTGATCTGAAAGATTATTTTTCTCGTCGGTTACAACACAAAAACGTAAACTACTTGCATTCAGCTGGATATGAGATGAAAGATGTGAACTCTACAGTCCTCAAACTGAATTGCTGTACAATAACTCCCTTAATTTATATAATCTGAGCACTATCAACTCAGCAAAATAATTTAATGACAGTCAGTCAGCTACAACGTAGGACCAAGCATATATGTGCTTCGGTCCAGGTTGCCATACCTCATTAGCACAACAAGATGAACACCGGATTCATAGGAGAGGTTAGGTCAAAGGTGGTAATATATAGGAGAAAGATTGAATATAAGAATATAGTATAGGAAGAAAGAATTAGTTAGTAGAAGGAAAGATATGAAGTGGTTTTAATCTCTTAGTTTAAGGGAAGACAGGGAGTGTATACCCTACGCCATTGTGATCGATTCTGAGCCATGTCACCAAGAGTCTCCAACCATTGGTTACGAAAGTCACGCGGACCCCAACTAAGTAGTCTGCATCTACCAACATGGCTCAGACTAGAGGTTAGTGACTTCAAGCACTGATGCCACGTTTTGGTTTGGCCGCCCCTTACTTTCTTCCAACCATCTAGGTTAATGACAAGAATAATGATAAAACTAAAACACTGAGAAATACAAAATGCATGAAACAAAAATAACCAAAAAAACCATTAAAGTGTCACTTAAAAACACAACCCAGTAAAATTCGTGTTTCAAGAGTTAGAATAGAATATTTCATACAAGAAGATGATGAAATGCTTTAGACAAATTCCTTGAAAACTGAATAAAATACATCATCCGATTCTAATTTAATGTCAAGATCCATTTCAATCTTATGTGATGTTTCAAGTACAGAATATCAAGAAATACCAAAACACAAATGAAGTCTATTACTCAGTTATTACTTTAGATAATATAAGTCTACAACAACAAAATTATCTTAAAAATAGTCATTCTTAAATGATAACAATCATCAATAATATTACAGTTATGATGAATACATTAATATCGTAAATTGATTGAAGTAAAAAAGTGTACATCATTGAATATAAATTTATTGAACTCATCTCCAACTTTTATTATAGTTTCAGTTCTTGATAAAAAAAAATTCAGTGTGTACTATTGAGTACACTCATTTCAACGATGAACTAAATCACTACGTTGATTACTCAAAAGCGATGAAATGGGAATATGGTAGACAATTAGGATGTGACTTTAGCATGAAAAGTTGCTTCGACTATGTTCAAATTAGACGACAATAGTGAGTCAGTTGTCATTTCATTTATGAATTTATAATATTATTCTTTGTTCAATAATCCAGTGAAATCAATTTCGAAAGAGAAAATTAACAGGGACATGAAGAATTCAGAAGATTAGAATTTCAGAGAACACAAAGAGTGAATGCACCTGCGCCAGTGCAAACTGTTTTGAACCATGTCATTCAAGTCTCTATCCTACCCTGTCCCAAACAATCCTTCACACTTCTTTCCAGTTGTTATTCATCCTTTACATATCTACTTCTATTTCTCGACGTAATGTGTTTTTCGGTTTTCCTCTTTTCCACTTTCCTTCACGATTCCAAGTGAGAGCTAGCCTCGTGATGCAGTTCGATGATTTCTATGATGTATGTCCTATCCATTTCTAACGTGTTTTCCTAATTTACTCTTCTGCTGCCTAATACCCGTTTCCGAACTGCTGCAGTAGGCTCTTACTCAGTGTTCCCAGGATATACAATGTTTCGAGCACACCTATGATGCGTAGATAAGTATTTATATATACTTGTACCTCTTTGATGATGGTTGTAGTGGTTCTCCACGTTTCAGCTCTGTACAGTGGGACTGTTTCGCTGACGCCAGAAGTAACGCAAGTTGGCAAAAGCTAGTCGGGCCTTCGAATTACAAAATTAAATGACAGTAAATGATGAGATTGTATTTTATTATATTGATTCCAATAAATTATAACTCCTATACAAAAACACGATTATTTTTTTGTATTTAGATAAAAGATTTAAAAAATGCGATCGCAACTGGTAATTCAATAATTCAGATTCATTCATTAATATTTATATTTTTGAGCATATTAGATGTCTATCAATTTATCAAAGTTTCTTACCTTTCAATATACCATCAAGTAGAAATAGAACTTCAAAGATGAACTACCTAATGTGTTGGGGATGTTAGATCCCCAGAACTCATTTGGTAAATACCTTATTTTTGTTATTTTATTTTAAAATTTTGGATTTCTTGTTTTCGTACCAAAGGCGCTCATTTTCACTGTCGGGTTGTATTTCCCACTTGGGAGAATCTTAAACAAGGTTGGGTATGCGATCAGCGACAACATCCCGTAGAAAACTAACTCGCTAAAGAAACGCTTACCAGAAAAAATAATTCATTGCTGTATATATGTGTTTGATTTTTACCTGTTATTATTTCTTGTGCTTCTGGGTGCTTGCGGAGTATGTTCCTCTGTATCGAAAATGAAGTCGATGCTCCTTCTGACAACCAGAGCAACCATTTATTTAGGCACATGGAACACTCGTACAATGTGGGAGACCGGGAGTCTTACAAATTGCTTCGTTCTCAGACTAGGTGAACTTGTAATCACTTCAAACATTGCATAATGAAATTGTCTAACTGTTTACTGTTGATATTTAACTTCAAACATAATACTTTGTTTGTTGATAGCATAGTAAATTGTTTTGAATAAAGATACATGACGAAAAATGAAATCACTAATTGCCTTTAAAATTGATTGTTTTATTTCGTTAAGCAACAGGAAAATTATCCCATTCTGTGACACTGTCAATGAAGCAAAATGTCGGGATGCATTCTCATATGGAAGATGTATTATTGTGAGGTATGGAACCCCAGTTCCTAAAGAAGATCGGTTCTTCTCCAA